TGGTGTCGGAGATCTTCGGGACATACATGCTCGTGCTGACGGTGGGCCTCAACTGCCTGGCCGAGGCCCCTTCCGGGGCCTTCTCCGTCGCGGCGTCGCTCGTGTGCATGGTATTCGCCTTGGGCGACGTGTCGGGGGGGCACTTCAACCCAGCGGTGACCACTGCGATCCTCGCGATCAAGAAGATCGAGGCAAGGGAGGCTGTCATCTACTGGTGCGCCCAGATAGTCGGCGGGATCTTGGCCGCCTGCACCTACACGGCCATCTACGAAGGGAAGAGCCTGGGTTTCCGAAAGGGGTTCGGCCCTGGAGAGGGATACGGCTTGGGCGAGGTTGCAGCGGCCGAGATCTTCTTCACGTTCGTTCTGTGCTTCGTCGTGCTCAGTGTCGCCTGCTCGCCCAGCGCCGGCACCGGCAGCTACTCGGAGGTGTTCGGGCTCGCCATCGGCTCCTGTGTCACAGTGGGCGGCTTTGCGGCTGGCTCGATCTCCGGCGGCAGCCTGAACCCTGCTGTGTCTTTTGCAATCGCGACGAGCGAGGCGAGTGACTCCGATTTCAAGGGCTTCCTCGAGGGGGTCGAACAATGACACAAACATAACAGCTCTGAGGTCCGCGCGGGTTTCTCGGATCGGCGCTGGCCCCCCCTCCCTGGCGCGCGGGAGCGCGCCAGGGGCGGCGCCGGAGGTGCCGCCAGGGGGGTCCAGCGCCGATCCGAGAAATCCGCGCGGACCTCAGAGTTCTCATGTTTGTGTCATTGTTCGTTCCCCTATCTTCAGCGAGTTCTGGGCCGGTTACTACACGGTTTTCGAGCTAGCTGGCGCGTGCGCCGCGGCGCTCGTGTACTGCCTGACGCACGCCGCGGAAGGGGAGGGCGAGGAGTCGGAGAAGGGCTCGGGCGATGAGTCCGAGGCGTGGGTTTACCCATAGCCATCATCCGCCTTGGGGATCGAGCTTCCCCAGACATGACGGCGTCGTGCAAAAATCAGAAGAGGAGGTTTTTGGCCAGTTTCGGCCTTGGGGGGCCCTCGCCGGGCCTCAGGACCGTCCAAAAACGACTGACTTCCAGGGACCCCGTATTGAAATTTGCCTGGCGAATGACCCAACCATAAGCAGTGATACGTACCGCAGTGGTGAACACCATCTTAGGTAGATCCTCCTATGCGGTCACGAAACGTTTGAGGGGTGTGCCAAAGTGGCCCGTCGGCGGCAGGCGGCCTTTTCCACTGAGGCTTTCGGTGGAGCTCCCCACACGAAGCGCGCGAGGGGTGTGCAGAAATGGGGCGGCACCGACATGCGGACCCTGCCGCGGCGGCCTTCGGTGGTTCCGCCTCAGGCCACGAGACGTGCGAGGGGTGCGCCAAAGTGTGGAACGGAACCGCATGCGGGCGATGCCACTGGGGCCTCAGGTGGAGCATCCTGCGGGGCCACGAAACGTGTGAGGGGTGTGCCGACAGGGCGAGGTGCCAGCATGCGGGCCCTGCCACTCGGACCCTCGGTGGAGCGCCCGCCCCATGGGGCCGCGAAACGCGTGAGGGGTGCAGCGAAACAGAGACAGGCGAAGTGCAGAGGCAAGGATAGGGGAACAAAAAGTGGCATAAGCATAAAAACTCGGAGGTTCGCGCGGATTTCTCGGATCGGCGCTGGGGCCCCTCCCTGGCGCGCGGAGCGCGCCAGGGGCGGCGCCGGAGGCGCCGCCGGGGGGCCCCAGCGCCGATCCGAGAAATCCGCGCGGACCTCCGAGTTTTATGTTTATGTCACTTTTTGTTCCCCTAGATGGGGGAGAAGTGAAGAGAGAGAGCCAGTGAGAAGAGGATCGAGAGAGGAAAGCCCACCCCCACACCCACCAGCCTGATGTGTTCACATGTTTTCCGGGACGCTTTAGGACTCCGTCGGCGCGCCTCCACGGCGACGACTGCGAGTCGCGACGTGTCCGGTGTCACGCATCGTTTTATATATCAGGAGGGGAAAAAAACACACAGACACAATTAATCGTTGATTCCCCATAAAATTGATCAATATGGGAAGTGGGGGGGGAGACGAAAACCCAACAACTGTGGGAAAGTATGGGGGGTCTTTTTATGTTTGTATTTATTTGTGTGTCCTGGGGCCCCTTCAATCTAACCGTGTTCGTTTGAATCCAGCAGTTTTAGCGTGTTTTATCAACGCGTTTTCTGCGTTTCTATAACTGCGCCGTTGTACGTGCGCAGTGGCTCGATTCGAGCAACGTCCCAGGCAATTTCGCGCGCGCGGCAGTTTTTGATCAAACAGTTGTGGGTGTTTGTTAAACATTTTTTGGGTTGTATGATCATACCTGGTCCTCGGCGGTTGCATCTTCCGCAAGTTGCCAGGGGCCTCTCTGGGGGCACATGCAGCTGACGACGGTCGCCGGGCCAGAAGCTCTAGAGAGAAGCTTTGAACATATAAAGCATGATGTGGTGGGTGTGGGGTTGGCTTGGGTCGCCTTCAGAGGAGGAGACGTGGGGCGCTGTCTCTGCACAACGAGGATTCAACACCACAGCGTGGTTGGGAAAAATGAGGACGGCGCATGTCTGGGTCGGCAACGTCGGCAGAAGATGGACCTGGAGATATTCGGCCCCCCTGGGGCCAGAATGTGTCCAAATCCACCGCCTGCTTGGGCCCCAGGACGTCGGGTTCCACAGGCGGTGGCTATGGCTACATCCCTGCCTCGTCGTGAGGAGTCGCGGCGCTTGCTGATGGGCGCGCTGCGCTCCCAGTGACAACGTACGCTCCAGACACTTTAGGCGGCTCCTCCAGCTCATCCAGGCAAGCAGAGTCCCGCTCCCTCTTGGCTTGGGCGTGCCCGGGCCAAGACAAGCTGGCGTTGCCGTGTGTTGGCCAGTCGCGGGTGGTGTAGGCTGGTGGTGCAGTGCCATCTGCGCCGGTCTGGTTCAGTCGGTTCTGTTCGATTCGAGGCCGCTGCCCTCGATCTGGTCAACCGCTCTCGATCATCGTTGCTGTTGTGCGTGGGTGAAAGTTTGTTCGCTACAGCGCTCGCTGCTGAGCAAGCACATGGGCATTAAGTTGCGCCTCGAGCTTTTCAATGCGAGCATCACACCTATATTTGTCTATGGGCTTGACACGTGTGCTTTGAACCAGCAACAGTTGAATCAGCAACAGTTGGACAATGCTCCGTCGCATGGTCGTGTGGGTATTCGATGACAATGGCTTGTGGGATAATGCTGTCCGCAGAATGCGTATGCCAGAATACGACACTATATCGCAGTCAGGTCTTCGGTTGTCTCCCAACGCAAGAGACATTTGTTAACTCGCCTGACGTCTGGTAACGCGCCTCACTTGCTACATATTGCGCACGACTGGCCCCCAGTTTCATGCGCGGCGCTGAACAACAGCTAGCCGCGACGCACGAAAGGCCGTCCGCGGCGTCGTTGGTACGACGACGTGCAGCTCCGTCAGCTTGTTTTTTCGGCCCACATCCTAAAATGAGGTTCTTGTTTTCCCCTTATATCCTAGGCTGGATGTTTTGTTCTTGCTTAGACGGCTCCCGGAACCTCCCTGCTACTTCCTTCTCGTCCTCCTCTTCTTCAGCCAGGGTGACTCACTCACACTCAGACACACTCATACTCATCCATACCATGACTCACTCACAGTCAGACTCATTCGCAGCCAGATTCACTCACACTCAGACTCGCTCATAGTCAGACTCATTGCATTCAGACTCAGGCTCACTGGTACTCACTCGCACTCATAGTCGCTCATTCTCGGGCTCACACTCAGACTAACTAACATTCAGATTCCTTTCATCGTTAGACTCCGATCCACTCATACTCATCGGTGGTCCAATGCTTGCCGCGATATGGCAGGCGCAGCATTTGGGCACCCCATGGAAGGGGCGCCAGGGGTCAGGAGAGTCCAGGATACGCGCCCAGATTGTGGGCATGTCTCAAGCGGTTTGCGTGTTTGCGCGCCCGACACCCTCTGCTTCCGGAACAGATTCTGAGGATGTCTCAGAGGCGCTGGTTTCAGCACTCTTAAGGGGTGGCGCCAAAGAGTCAGGACACTCCATGATTCGCGCCCAGATTGGGGGACATGTCTCAGGCGGTTTGTATGCTTGCCTCCCCACCATCGTGTGCTTTCGGAACAGATCCCCCATACTCATCGTTGGATCTGTGTGTTCCTCATTCAGTCTCTTTTTTCCCACTCGGACGCACTCATTCGCAGTCGATCTTACTCATTATCACCTCTTCTTCAGCTCTTCTTCGCTCAGATCCACTCATCTCGTTCAGACTCGCCCATTTTCAGATTCGATCAAGTTCAGAGTGGCACTTGTTCATCCGCTCCTAGTAAGAGTCGCTCGAACTCAGATTCACCCACACGCAGATCAACTCACACTCATCACGCTCAGACTCGCCAGCCTTCAGACTCACTCATACGCAGACTACCTCGCACCCAGGCCCACTCATACTCATATATGTATTCGTTGCACCTAAACTCACACATCCAGACACATCTCACTCAAGCTCACGCATACAGACCCAGTCACATTCAGACCCAGTCGCACTTTGACCCGCTCGCACCCATACTCACCCATATGCAGACCCACTCGTATTCACACTGCTGCACACTCAGGTTCGATCGCACCCGGGTCCACTCACACTCAGATCCTCTCGCATTCAGATCACCCGCGCTCAGATTCGTTCACATGAAGGCTCACGCACACTTGCTTGCCGCGATATAGCCTTCGCGGCACTTGGGCGCCCCAAGTGCCAGCAGGCGCCGCGAGTAGCACGCCAGAGATCGGGCAGCAACGCCATTCGCGCTTGCCTGAGTTGCCGCGGGGAGAACGGCACGATGCGCTCCCCCTCGCTCTGTCACTTGTGCTCCCCCTCGTCTCTCCTGAAAGATGTCCAGAAGTTGCGGAGGAGGAGGAGGAGGAGGAGGAGGAGGAGGACGTCACTGAAGTCGTCGCCGTCGTCGTCGTCATTGCCGCGCCTGTTCGTCCACGCGGATTCGCTCTCACATCCAGATGATCATAGACAGAGTTCTTCAACGAACCGTGACAGGAGTGTCTCCGAGAGAACACTCCTCATCCTCACGTCCTCCTCCCCCCCCCTTCTTCACCCATGCTGGCTGGTTTCCAGACGCTTTCGTCCACCCTCATACCCAGACTCGCTCATACTCAGACTCGCTGATATCTGACACATATTCCGAAACACTCATCACGTATACTCCCCCGTACTCAGGCTCGCTCACACTCAGATTCACGCGGCACCCACACCCAGGCTCACTCACAATCAGATTTGCCCATCTGCGGACTGGCTCATACTCAGACTCGTTTGTGCTCAGGCTCACTAACACCCAGGTTCGCTCACATTCAAACGAATTCGAACCCATATTCGCTTAGCATCAGACCCATTCACTCGGACTCACTCATGCCCAAGTAGCTTGCAGTCGTATTCCTTTCATCATGCGATTCAGATTCGTTCAGATTGAGACTCGCGCGTAAAGTGTGAGGATGTCGCAGGCAAGGGTCTGGTTACATCACTCCAAAAAGGGGACCGCCAGGGGGTATCTCACTCCTCCGTCCGTGCCCATACCGGGACGATGTTTCAAGTGGTTTGCCTGTTTGCGTGCTCAAGAGCATTGCGTGAGGATGTCTTTGGCAGTTTGCCTGTTTGTGTCTCCCCCTTCTCTCAGAATTTTCTGGTGCTCCAATGGCCAACGCGAGCCCCAACACGGGGGAGCGGCCATGGGTGGGGACACCCCAGGGTTCGCGTGCAGTCTGTGTGGCTGCCGAAGGCGGTTTGCACATTTCTGTCTCCTGGGTCTCTTTCTTTTCGTGGTCCAGTGCTCATCACGATACCAGGCGCGGCACTTGGGCACCCCAATGGGGGAACCGCCGGTGGCGGGGACATTCACGAGTCCGCGTTCGAAAACTCTCTCGGGCAGTCTGCTTCTTTCTTGCCCCCCCCCTATACGTTTTTTTTTTCTTTGTGCGGCGCAGTGCGCACCGTGGCATATCAGGCGTGTTGCACTTGGGCACCCCAGCGCGGAGCCGCCAGGGGTGGGGACACCTAGGGATTCGCGCTCAGATTTTGGGGGTTGTCTCCGGCGGTTGCCCTGTTTCTGCCCCCCCCCCAGATTTTCCTGTGGATTTGTATGCTCTTCTTCCACTCACTCACTCACCTCCTCCGCTGTTCCCCACTCGGACGTATTCATTCGCACTCGCACTTGCTCAGCATACTTTCTTCCTCACTCAGACTCGCTCGTTACATCTTCATAGTCGATCGTATGAAGACACACTTACTTACTAGCTCATACCCAGGCTCGCTCAAACTCTGGCTTACCCATACCCAGACCAAGTCACATTCAGACTCACTCACACTCAGACTCACCAGCCCTCATATTCACTCACACTCAGACTGACCCGCACCCAGGCTCACTCATACGCAGTTATGTTTTCATAACATTCAAAGTCAGACCCACCCGCACTCAGACTCACTCATAGTCAGGCCCAGTCGCACTTAGCCTCGCTCGGATCCAGACGCAATCGTACTCAGACTCACTCGTACTCACATGGATTATATCCAGATTCGCTGACACTCAGGCTCGATGATACCTGGATTCATGCACACTCCGACTCGTTCACTCTCAAATCATTCACGCTCCGATGTGCTCGCACTAAGGCTCACACGCACCAACGGTTACTGCGATATTGCAGGCGTTGCATTTGGGCACCCCAAGTGCCAGCAGGCGCCGCAAGTAGCACGCCAGAGATCAGGCGTATCAGTACCATGCGCGCTTGCCTGAGTTGCCGCGGGAAGAACGGCAAGAGGACCCCCCCTCGCTCTTCAGCGCTTGTGCTTCTTTCGTCTCTCCTGCAAGATGTCCGAAGGTGGAGGAAGAGGTCCTATTTTGCCTCAAGCTGCTCCTTCCCTGGAGTGCCCCAGAGAAGGGTGTGAAAGGGGGCCTTCTGGCCGCAGGCTGCCCCGTTCTCTTCGGGCACTCCTCCTTGCGCCGAGAGGAGGCATAGGTATCTCCCTCCTTCTCCGGCAGACTATCGCCGAGAATTACCAGACAGGCTCCGGAGGGGCAAGAGCATACAGACACAATGAATCAGCAATCCCCCAGAAAATAGGGGAAATTATGGGAAGCGGGGGGGGGGGAAGACAACAACCCATAATCTCTCTCTCTATGTATGTATGTATGTATGTATGTATGTATGTATGTATGTATGTATGTATGTATGTATGTATGTATGTATGTATGTAAGTATGCATGTAGGTAGGTAGGTAGGTAGGTAGGTAGGTGGGTGGGTGGGTAGGTAGGTACCCCAGGGAGAGGTCCGGGGTGTCTGGTTTTGGCACCTTGTGGTGTTTCCACTCCACCTCCTATTTTCCTCCCTCGCCCTCCGTCCCCGAAAGGAGACAGGCGTTCGGAGGACTGCCTGGAAGTATCATTGCAGTGGCAGGATGTGGCACACCCCCCCAGCAGGACACGAGGGAGAGGAATGTCAATCTGTCGTAGAGAATAACAGAACCCCTTAAACCTAAAACCTAATTTCGTGGCCTCATTGAGGTCCCCGTCTTTGCATGGGGGAATGCATCTTTGGGCGGTTTGGCTCGATAAACCTGCAGAAGAGAGCCCCGTATCCGTCCATCATCTTGTTGGCCCTCCTAACTTAGGTCCCCTCCTCCCAAAGGGTTTTTTTTGGGTTCATCAGCCTCCTCCCCCCGTTTCCCCGAGATCCGACGTGGCACGAACATGCAGCATCGTAACCAGTCGCGCCCGGAGCCCCAGACCCCACCTTCCTGCACCGTTTTCCGAGCCTGGATCGATCTGCGAGGGGCCCCAGGTCCGCAACTGGGCGCCCACGCCTGGCTGGACGCCGTCGGGCCGCCAGGGTCCCAGGGCAAGGGGGAGGCGAAGGTCGAGCTCCTTCCCCCGCTTGGGATCCTCCTTCGTTCGGGGCACGTGTCCTTCAGGGCGTGCGCCCAGACCTGCGACGCCCTGACTTTGGCAGTGCGGGGCCCCCGGAAGCCCCGACGACCCTTTCCCCGGGGCCGGCTTCTCGTCCCGGGTCGTCTTCTGACGCTCCCGAAGCCCAGCGAGGGCCCCCCGAGGCCGAAAGTGGCCCAAAACCTCCCAGCCCCGATTTTTCTTTTTTACGCCGCGAGCACGCCTGGGAGCAGATGTCGCCCCCCGCCCCCGCTCCGCCCTCGGAGGGAGGGCGCGGGGGGGGGCGCGGCGGAGGTCGGGACCCACTTCGCCGCGGACGTCTGGTCCGTCGGGCGCCCGCCGCAGGAGGGCCCCGATCGCCCCCCTGCGGGGGCCGCCGCGGTCGACCGGTCGATCGGGCGGCGGTGCTGGGGCGGTCGTGGCAAGATCGCTGGGCCCCGGAGGAGGAGGAGGAGGAGGAGGAGGAGGAGGAGGAGGAGGAGGAGGAGGAGGAGGAGGAGTGAGAGGAGGAGGAGGAGGAGAGGGAGGAGGTGGAGGACAAGCTATGTGCGCTCGTCATAGTGAACGTCCACCCTCCCTCCCATCCTTACACACTGCGCTGATTTTCTCTATCCGCCTGACGCGTGGTCGTAGCGGACCTGTGTCTCCGCGCCCGCGTGCGTAGTGGGTGGTGGTGGCGCGTGCGTGCGTGCGTGTGTGCGTGTTGGTTGTTGTTGTGGTTGGTGGATGGTGGTGGTGTGGTGTGGTGGGTGATGGTGTGTGGGTTGTGCGTGTGCTGCGCGTGGCGGTGGTGTGACGTGGTGTCGCGTCTTGGTGGTTTGGTGGTGGGCCAGGTGCGTGCGTGCTGATGGCGGTGGTGGTGGTGGTGGTGGCGGTGGTGGTGGTGGGGTGTGTGTGTGTGTGTGTGTGTGTGCGTGTGTGTGTGTGGTGTGTGTGGGTGTGTGTGTGTGGTGTGTGTGTGTGTGGCGTGGTGTGTGTGTGTGTGTGTGTGTATGTGTGTGTGTGTGTTTGTTGTGTGTGTGTGTGTGTGTGTGTGTGTGTGTGCGTGCGTGCGTGCGTGCGTGCGTGCGTGCGTGCGTGCGGGCGTGCGTGTGTGTCTGTGTGCGCGCGCGTGTGATGTGGTGTGACGCGGTGTAGCGTGGTGGTGGTGGGTGGGGTAGTGGGGTGGTGGTGGCGGTGCGCGTGCGTGCGTGCGTGCGTGCGTTGGTGGGTGGAAGTGGCGGTGGGCGGGGCGGGGCGCGGTGCGGTGGTGGCGGGCGGATGGGCGCGCGAGTAAGAGCCCGATGGGGCGAGAACCGTCATCCTGAAGATGGGGGCGGCAGGGCAAATCCCCCCCCACCCCCCCCCCCACCCCCCACCCCCCCACCGCCCCCCCCCCCCCCCCCGCCCGCACCGATCCGAAAATGAGACCCACGCTGCAGCGGGAGCACGATTCGGAACGAGCGGGGCCCGAATATGAGGCCGGCGCCTCAGCGAGAGCAGCATTTTGGAAAAAATGCAGGCGAAAACCCAACTCCGGGGAAACCTGTGTGTAAAAAACAGTACGCGGGGGGGGGGGGCGGCTACTTTCAAGACGTCATCAGGGGAAGAGGGAGAGTAGTATTCATATTGAGTAATTGTGGAGGAGGATGGGGTGGTGGGTCCCTGAGATCCCCAGACCCCCTCGAGGCATGCAAAAGCCACGACGGGAGGTTTTTCTCGCTATTTTCGGCCTCCGAGGGGCCCTTCCCGGGCCTCGGGGCTGTCAAAAAACGACTCAGGATGGCAAGCCGGTCCCCGGGAGCAGGTCGAAGCTTCTGGGGGTCGACGTCATGAACAACTCGTGACGTCGGAGGTCTGGGTCCTGTCGTTCCCATTTGTCCACGTTGGGCGTTTCCGTTCAAGTTCGGGGCCCGGGGCCCCCAGAGACCGATCCGGCTCGAAACATGGCGCAGAAGCATGAGGTCCGGGGCCCCCTGTCGTGTTTTTTCGGATCTCACGGGTGCGAGCCTCGCATCCTGGGGCGGCCAGGGCCAGCTGGGTCACCATCAGCTCATCAGGGCCGGGCCGCGCCAGCCCGGGTCGGGGCGCCGGCGTCGACGCCGACGCCTTCACCTTCGTCTCCCGCGCCGCCGCCGTCGCCGTCGTCACCGTCGCCTTCATCGCAGCCGCCGTCGCTGTCGTCGCTGTGGCTGTCGTTGTCATCGCCGTGGCTGTCTTTGTCGCCGTCTCTGTCGTTGTCGGCTCCGATGCCGATGCCGTCGCCGTCGCTTGTCGTCGTCGTCGTCGTCGTCGTCGTCGTCGCCATCGCTATCGCCATCGCTGTCGTCATCGCTGTCGTCGTCGTCGTCGTCGCCGCCTCCGCCGCCTCCGCCGCCGCCGCCGCCACCGTCATCGTCGTCGTCGTCGTCGTCGTCGTCGTCGTCGTCGTCGTCGTCGTCGTTGTTATCGTCTCGTCGTCGTCGTCGTCTCTGTTGTCGCCGCCGCCGCCGCCGCTGCCGCCGTCCGTGCGCCGAAGCCTTGGAAGGTGCCTGCTCTTCGAGCTCCTCACCAGCAGGTTCCTCTTCCAGGACCCCCTGCCTGCTGCCGAGGGGCAACGATGGGGGGGACTGGCATAAGGGGGGGATGCATCGACCTGGAAACGGCGATACATCGAGGATAGATCGGCGATAGGCCTCCGATAGCGAATCCGTACCTTCCTGGGCAGGCTTGGGCTATCGGCCCGCAATCGGCGATCAATGGGCGATTGGGGGTCGATGCATAGGGAGGGAGAAGGGATGAGGGAGGAGAGTGATGAGGAGAGGAGGAGGGAGGAGGGGGGTGAGGGAGGAGGGAGGAGGGAGAGGGGGAGGGTGAGGGAGGGAGGAGAGGAATTGAAGGAGGGGAGGAGGGGAGGAGGGTGAGGGAGTGGAAGGGGAGGGTGGAGGTGAGGGGGGGTGGGAAGGGAGGGCGGAGGCGAGGTCGGAGGGGGCTGCGGGTCGAGGAGGGGAGGAGGAGGAGGTAAGTTGGCGGTAGGAGAGTGAGGAGGAGGTGTAAATGGATCTATCTCCGCCCTCCCCCCGTTGTCCCCCTCTGGCTGCTGTGTCCTGCCTCTAGTTTTTCCCCTCCCGCTCTGGGGGCCGCGGCGGCCGGCTGTATGGCCGGGAGTTTTAAGTCGGGCGTGTCTCTCTACAGGAGGCGTCTTTCAAAATAGGCAGAAATAGTCAGGTGTAATCGATTTTTTTTTGTTTGCTAATCTATTCCTATTCTTATATTTTTATTACCCGGACCCCCCCCCTATCCCCCCCCGCAAAACCGGATCCCCCCCCCAAGGGACCCCCTGGCCACCTTTTCGGACGTTTCAGCGGCCCCCGGGACGCCCTTGGACGAGGTCCGCTGGCCCTTTCGGGCCTCCCAGGGCGCCTTGCCGGGCCTTGCGAGCAGACTCAAGGCGATCAGAGGGGTCATCGGAGAGGCGCAAGAGAGACCCAAGACAGCACCAGAGCGTTCCAAGAGGAACCTCGATGGTCTGAAGACGGCCCAAGAGGCCCCCAAGACTCCTCAAGAGCCTGTTAAGAAAGCCCCGAAGAAGCAAACATCGCCCCATTCCTTCGGGGAAACGTATAAGTTTAACGTATCCGCTGTTTGGGACTTCGCAGCGTCCAAAGCGGCCCGATAGGCCCCCGATATCGGCCTAAGACGGCCCAAGAGGCCCCCCAGAGGCTTCGAAGACGGCACACGAGGGCCCCAAGACTGCCCCAGAGAGCCCCGAGACTGCCCGCAAGAAGCCCAAGATGCCCCCAGAAGGCTCCCAAGAAAGACCCACGAAAGCCATGGGAGACCCCCAAGAAGGCCATTGGAGGCCCCCCAAAGGGCCCTAGATGGCTTCAGAAGACCTCTGGAGGGCTCCAGCTCCCCAAGACGGCCCAAGAAGGCCCCAGGACGGCCCAAGAGGGCCCCAGGACGGCCCAAAAGAGCCCCCAAAACGCCCAGACGGCGTTTTCCTACGAAGTACATCGAGCTGACCCGACGATTCTGGTTCCACGCTTGAGGCTCGAGGTTTCAATTCCTCGATCGAGAGAGACAGGCAATGGATCTAGATTCGAAGTTCGACGATCGAAGATTTCCTGACTGCCTGGAGCTTTCCAGGCATTCAGGGAGCTACCAAACATCGATTTGTCCGGTTCTCCTGCGACTTCTTCGGCGTGTCATGAGAACGCTCCTTACTTCCTCAAAGGACATTCGCGCGTGAAAAAATCATCGTTCCCCCAGCTCCTGCGCACAAGCGTGCAAGCGCGTCGGGCGAACGCGGTGTCAGCAGGCACCAGGGATATCAGAAAAATGAGCTGGTCGCCCGTCCAGGCTTCGAGGTCCCCCGCGCTGATGATTTATTGCTTTGCCGGGGAGGGTCCGGAGCAAAGAGCATGGCGCGAAGCGCCAGTGCAGTCTTCTGTGTGTAATGATATATACATATATCGAGTATTTCCTTCCTCCAAAATCCGCCTGCAGGAGGACACGCCCGACCTAACAGGATGTGCGTCTGGCCGCTTTCGGTGGCGACGGTGGCCAGGCCGAGTCTCCCAGGAGGAAAACGAGGAAACGAGGGGGAGGGAGAGGGAGGGGGAGGGGGAGGGAGGGCCGGGGAGGAGGCAGGCGAGGGAGGGAGATCACAGATCGCCGCCCAGGATCATCAAATGCAGCCATGACTCCGTGCGGGTCCTCCAGGGCCAACCGGCGCACTCGAACCAGGAACAGCGAAGCTGTAAGCCGTGAGCAAGCAAGCAGCCATCGAAACTTGGTCATCTGCCTCAGTTGTCCCGTGGGCTGGGGCCTGGGCCAGGCTCAGCCACAATGTAGCGCTTGACGTTCACGAAGCACTGGGGCACGAACCTATGTACACCATCGGGGGTCCCGTCTGCCAGGGTACCGCCGTTCAGACAAGGATGCCCCTGGTCATCGTTGGTTTGTTCATTGTTTTGCCGATCGGCGCGGGCCCCCAAACTCCCCCCCCCACCCCCCCCCCCTGGAGTAGATATTGGCTGTCTTTGGCGCCTGTTTCGAGCAGGTGGAGCCTCCCCCATAATGGACGCACTGCTGCAAACAGCCGCACTAAACACAGGTCTGCCCTCCAACCCTCCCCCCTTCCTCCCAATGCCGAAACGCCAGATAAAGAAAAAACGCTCACCCGAAGCCCAAGACGACGTACCCCTGCACGCCAGAGCGCGCCGTGCTCGCCGCTTCTCTGGACCTGCGTGGGACTTGGTGGTGGAGGCGGAGGGCACTGAGGAGGGACATCTTGGCAGCTGCCTTCCAGGAGGTATGCCTCAACAGTGAGGATCTGAATTGCAGCGTTGCCACAGTGCGCGTGGCCCTT